CCGAAAGGAAAGTCGTCTGTCTTCGGAGTTTGCGACTCTAGGGGACGATTGTAATTCAGGCTAGTAGACGACCTTCAAAACCACTGTAAGAAATGGGAGGTCTCAAAAAATACGTAAGCTTAGCGAAAATGCCAGAAGACTCCAGTCAGTGGATTGATAATTTCTTTGACAGGTTGACGGCTAACCCTATGATTCCCACCCTTTTACGCGTTTTCCTTGCTTCTCTTGTTTATTTAGACGATTAAGATGTCTGAGACTTCTCTTTCCCTCCCTCTCAACCCCGTTCCCCGAGCCCTGGGGGTGGAAGCATATGAACGGGGCGGGGATGTTCGTCGTCTAGCTTGGTTGGTCTCGCTTAGGGTGTTCTGGACAAAATACCATTTTTATCCATAAAGGTCTCTTTTAGAGTTGCACTCGAAGAAATATTAAAAAATAATGTATTTTCACCTCGTTTTATCTATTCTATCCATGTAATCAAAGTTTAAAATGATCGCTTTTAGGGGTCAAAAAAAGGTTGGGCCACGCCCACATTGGTCTCCTTTAGTGGTTTAATTCAAAATTTCCGACGAGCATCCCTTTCATGTGGGAGTTCCCCCCCCCCCCCTCCCCCCCCCCCCCCCCCGGGCCCACCAGTCGACCGCAAAACTCGCAAAACCTCTAGATAAGGTGTATTTGTGGATATAACTATTCAGTGTCTTCATCAATAGCTTTTAGCTTTTCAAAAGACTATTACTTCGTTCGCGCGGTCACAAAACCTACTAAGTACATGTACAGCAATCTGACCATTGCTGCTTACCGCAATTTGCTTAACCGAATACACTTGTTTATCCAACTCAATTTTGCGTACAAATTCTCCGTTTGCAGTGTACAAAGTTACCCTCAGACGTTTCGTTTCTTGTTCACATTCAGCAACGGCGATATGTTCATCTGCCAGGTGACATGCAATGCAACATTCACTGTGAGAAAGGACTGAATCACAGTTTAAGTTGATATTAAATTTGGAAAGCTGTTGTCCCTCTACAGTGAAGATGTGAATACAGGCGTCATGTTTGTCTAATATCATGAGGCGACTATCATAAGAGGCAGTGATATCTGCTGCGTACTTGAACACTCCTTTACCAAAGGTACAAACAAATTCACCATTCCGATCATATACATTTGCACATTGTTTATTCAACACCACTGCTTTTCCACGGCTACATGCCAGGCCGTTGCGCCACAATTTTCTTCTACCCATATCTACAGGAAACTTGTGCAGTGGGTCGCCGCTGCTGGTAAAAACTTGCACTTCCCCAAATGCCGGTCTCGGCTCCTTTTTCTGGTCAAACAGGACATAGATCTTACTGTCATTCCCAGCGTCTCCAATAGCGACATCGCATATTTCTAACTTTGAATCCAGGTCATTAGGTTGCAACTCAAAACAGGAATAAAACTTTCCCTTGCTGTCAAACGACTTCAAGTAAAATTTGGACTTCACATTATCTAGTATAAGGAATTTTCCATCAATATTACCGGCGATACGAACAGGCTCATTGAGCATGTACTTGCTTGTACCCTTTGGAACAAACGACCATGGCGTAAAACAGCAATACTTCATATCAATTTTGCACATTGCCTGCACTACTCTTTCATCGCGCAGGGGGTCAACTTTATCTTCTCCAGTATCAATATATGGCCAGATCCAGAAATGTACGTATTTACCGACTGCTTGTGTTGCATCGTAAATGGCACGATTTACCTGGCATACCGCGGAGATTATCTTTCTCCTTTCACCTGAACCGAACCGACTCCTGATCTTGAGGACGCCTCTGTCTGTCTCGACTTTAAAACTGTTCTGAACAGCTGGAAGGGAGTGTAGTTTCTGAATGCACTGTTCACACTCTGGTAATGCTCTCTTGAAAGTGCTGTTCAAGTCCTCCGTGGTTCTCACAGCCTCAGATGCTGACTCTAACATTGCCGCCATCACACGATATCGTATGGCTGTAATGCGATCAAACGTGCTGAGGCTTTCGTTGTTGGAAGCATCTGTTGCTTTTTCTCGAGCCATTTTGAATCTCTCTTTTGCGTCAGAAAGCGCACTTTTCACTGTTTCATCAAGCTCAGTCAATTGCATGTTTCCCATTCCAGCGGCGAGGAGAACAGCTTTCTGAGGTTCACGGGATAAAGGCAAAGTCAATTCATCGAAATGATCTTCTTTGATCTGTTTGTTTCCTTTAGTTTCCCCTACTCCAGCCTCAGTGTTCTTTCCACTACGCGTTGCATCGACGGCGTCATTTAAATACCGAAGTCCTGTTTCAAAGAAATCTAGAGCTGCCCCAAGATCCTTTCGTGATAGCCCATCTAACTTCGTTTTGAGATCTTCCATTTCACGCACGATCAGGCCACGAAATTTCTGATCTGTCACGTCACCCTGTTTCAACTTCTCTGCCGCTACGTCTCTTCCTTTCTTTAAAATCAAGCCAAAGGTGACTTTAAACACTGCTGATAGAATCGAAGACATGGTTATATTTTGTCCCAGAACGAACTTGCCAAAATGACCTCTCTTGCCTTATAAAAAAAATATATATTTTTTTCAGCTTATGGGCCTACCGTTCCATCCGTTTTTGTGGTGTCATGCTAAATGCAGACGTAATTCCGGAGGACTCTTGTAAATAGATTTCTTCTTATTTTCATTATACCTCTTGAAAACTCTTTAGCGTGGCAGCAAGAACGTGCGAGAAGATGGGCCTTGCTTCTTACCATGCTATCGGCCTAAGCCGCGAGCGGTCGTCTTTCTTTCCTCATTGACGAGCGCGGCGAGCGAAGACGTGAAACTATGCAAATTAACGAGTTATGGTAAATGGTTAATACAGCTGTAGATTATTTATTCGGAAAGCCGAGAGAACGCCGAAGTTTGTTTGGTACATATATGGATCGACGAGTCCTTCTTAAATTGTTTATTCCTCAGTTTTTTGTTGCGACAGGCAGAAATAAACGAAAGACAAGGATAATTTAACCAGAATCCCACATTTTTAAGGCCAAACGGCGTTATTTCCGGAGGCATTTGCATAACTTTGCTATTACTATTCTGCATATTGTTATTCTCGAATTCCGCCATTCTTTGGTGAAATATTTCAAAACCTACCCAGAGACCTACTCAAGGACCGAGTCGGGGACCTACAAAAGCACCGTCAACGCTACCTAGTCCGGGAGGAACAAACAATGTTTTATGTCTTATATGAAATGATCTCAAGCCTTGACCTCGGTTTTATAGCATGTTGAACCTGTTCACTGTCTTTGGCCTGTTTCTGTAAATTTCAGTTCTTCAAAAAAAAAAGATAATAAAAAGGAGATTTTTAAATGGTGTGTGACATTGATTTTCACCGGAGCAACAGGATCATGATGATCTCTCTCTCTCCCCTTCTCCCTCTCTGCAGTTTTTAAACATAATTGTAAAGTTAACTTATCGCTATCACTACAATATACAACACGTACATAATTTCTATTTTAAACTTCGTGGAAATTCCTGCCAGTGGGGCCTAAACCCCGCCCCCCCTCCCCGCCCACCACCACACACAGACTTACGCACACCTCTTGCTAAAGCGTCATGCAAGAGTGGTATTTTTGGGTAATTTACAATACTATTGTTGTGGTTATGACTTTATTCTCATGCAAATAAAACTCATTTTCACAAGAACGGTTGTGCACTTGGCCTCATTTTGAAAGTGAGGGTTTTTCAAACTCGGAAGTGGCCTATTTTTCTACACGTCACCGTGTTTCAAAGAGCTTTTAGAGGAAGTTGTCCTGAACTTTGAATTCGTATCACAAAAACTGATTACCCTCTTACAAAATAAGTCTAAATTTACGTGTTTTATTGTCGTGTCACTAAAGGCATTAAAGTTAGACTTAACATATCTTTATTTTTCAGCTTATTTTGCAAAAAATCATAAGGATAAGATTGACTTTGAATTAAATAAATCATTTAACCCGTTTTGGTGATGTCAGCCGATTTGACGTCATAATTGCTGGTCGACCGCCAGTATCCTATCTGGCAAGGTTGGTCAAGAAAGGGAAAAAAAACAAGTTTTTAAGGTCTAAATTTATTTGGAACAAAGATTGACAGACAATCATGTGAAGCAATGAGTCATGAATAAATGTAAATTCAGGAACTAAAAAACCTAGATATTATGCATGCTTATCCCATTTCTAGAGTCGTCAGTAATGTTGAATCTAACCGCAACGCATCTTACTGCCTTGTCAATGGCGTCGTGTTTACTATACAAAAACTTAAATTAGTTTTCTGGTAGCAAATGGAAACAGAGAGGTTTTATAGGATACCCCGTTCTTGCGATTGACGGTAAAAAATAAGGATATTTAGCGAAAGTCTTCCTTCCAGGCTTGCTCATCTTTCTATTTTTAACGCCAGGCCGGCTAAAAAGACAAACAACTTATACAAACAAACACAAAGAAAGCGAAGTTTTTCAAAACATTTCAGTCACTCTACTTGCTGTCGTGAATATAAAGCACATTGTACATGTTTCATTGAAGTTATATTCATGTTTTGAATGAAATGTCGGAAAATGGTTTAAGCATGACGTGTAATTTGGGCCTGTGTTTACACGCCGAAAAGAAAGCACATAGAACATTTGTCGATTTTTAAAAAATGTTCACATGTCAGTGGTCTGGTCTGCGTATATGGATCTTTGTGGCTTTGTGGGTGTGTGTGTGTTTGTGTGTGTGTTACAGGGGCCAACAAGGCTGGAGATACCATGAGTTGATGCTAGGAACCGATGAAATTTTGCTATCTAAATATGACATTGCTAAAGGTCAAACAAGGGCTCTTTGAGACCGCCATCTTGGTTCTTCTGAATTTTTCGTCATTTATTACGGCTAAACTAAAGGCGTTTAGAGGCATAACATGTAAATAATCTTTATGATTCAAACATTGAGTACAGAGAGTTCAAATTTTAGTATGCAGTGCTGCTTCAAGACATTTCTGACCTAATTCGGCTATCGCGAACGGTACCGACAACGTACGTACATTTCATGATTTATGAGTTCTGTTTCGCCTTCGTCAAGGTGATAGAGCATGAAAGATCATATCTTTTTCAAAGTTCTTCAAATAAAACGTTTCAAACTGATATTTAGATATGGACATTTGACACGGAAGCATGTGGCCTATAAATTGTGGTTTTAGAAGTTTGAAAGGCAGCTTATTTTTTTAAAAGCTGCATCGAGTAAGATAATCCTGTAAACAAGTTTTATTCTATTGCTTACAAATTTATTTCAACAGACCTTTTCGTTCCGGCAAACATGAATTAAGTGAACAACATGATACATGCTCGGCCTGATTTTTTTTTTCCCGGCCTAATTAATCTACGGTGATCAAGAGCCATTATGGCTCTTAAATGTGATCGAAGATGATTGCCAGTTTTTGGGTGTACATATGAGGCTATCAACTCGATGTAAGATTTGGTTCACTCTTTGGCTGTTTGCAAATTATTTTTCTCTATTAAAAATCACTTAATACTAACTTTCCCTCAAAAGTCACATGAATGTGCTCTAAAGTTAACTGGATTGAGGAATACAAGTTTATTGTTTGATTTAAATTATAAATATTAATGGCGGCCTCGCTTTTAGCCCTGGCTAAATCTATATGTTTGTTATTGAAACGTACTTTTTCTACCCAGGGGCTTTAGTAAAAATGTATAACTTTAATAGAAACAGTAGCGTTAGAGAATGAAATTGGAAAAAGCCAGTTTTCATTGAGAGGAATAACATGAGATGAGTAGAAATATATTTCGGCAATTTGGTAATTTTCGTGGAAGTGCATGAAGCATAACTTAATTGCAGATGTAAAAAAGCCGAGGTGATTTCTTAAAATCGTTTGAGAAAACTGTCTAGGTATGGTAGGCGGCGGAATGGTGCAAAATTCAACGAAGCAAAATCACTACCAACATCAACAACCAATCTGCAGTTCAACATTTTTTTTCTACATCAACAATAATATCCGTCCAACTTCAACGATTAATACAATAATCAACATTCGAAGTATGCCTAATTCAACAACTAAAGAAAATCAACATCACCAAAAATTCCTCGTTTCTTTAACGACGATTTGCCTCACAACCAACATCGTACATCAACTTCAACAACAAAACACATATCGATCCGACTTCTGATTGGTCGAGATGAAACTTGTTAGTGTATGTAAACGTCACTAAAGTGTAGCCTAGAGCATGTGATAAGTGACCATTCCTGTCGCCAAACTCTCAATGCGATCGAATCTCCAGCCCACGATGTACGGACGTTGAGCTGGTGTAATTTGGAATATTAATGTTTTTTTTTAAGTCATTGTTATTAAACGTTCTTGACGACTTCAAAGGTTAAGTTTGTTTTACTGAAATATGGCACTTATTCAGCTGGATTGATTCCTTCAATTAGCAAGGAAAGTGTCCCGGGCTAAATACGGGAATCGATCCAACAACAACAACGATCCGCCGATTTATAGATAGTATCAGAGCTGAAAAGTCTCACTTGTCTTTAGAAAGCATGTAAAAGTGAAATAAGATATTAATTCTAAAATATTTTTATTGTTTGAGAAACAGCACAATAAGATGTTTCGGTGGTGATATCATTAAGCGTGCTTTTCCCGCCGTCAGCTTAGCATCCCCGCTTGACCTTAGTTTACTTTTTTCATTGCGTGACTCCCGTGCATGACGTCAGCGAAAAAGTTTCTCAGGATCAGATTTAAAAAAAAATCATCTTTACTGCGCTTTTCACAAACATGCGAACTCTAAGGTTCAAAAGCCGTCTTCACAGTTGTGTTTTTCGCTGCCGTCAATCATAATTACAATCACAAAACACACAAAACGGGTCGAAATCCACCAATCACCAATCACAAACCATGACCTAAAGGTTTTTTGTGTAGTTCAATAAAGACACCATAGTTCAAGAACAACTACATGAGATCAGAAAACATCACAACTATCGATGCATGATAGGTGCGAGGCGGTAGAATTTTTGGGAGTGGAAGTTTAGGGGAGCATCTGCCACTGAACCATTTTCATCAATGTTTTTTTAAATCTATATTTGTTAACTAGCTCTATGCTAGTGTGGCGTAATCCAGTGAAGGTATAATTATTCCATGGCTGTATGGTGGTTCATTAGCCACTGCATTAGTTCTAAGACTGGGGGTGGCTATAGAATTGCCTTTCGTTATCCATTTTTTATTGTCTTGTCATAGTTATGGTGTAACCTTCCATGACCTTTTGAACCCTTTAGAGTAAAGTTCTGTTTCCTAAGAGGTCCGCTAAGATATTGACGGCAGTAAAAAACGCAAACGGGTCAGTTGGATTTTGAACTTTAGAGTTCGCGTGTTTTTGAAAAGCCCAGTAATTTATAAATACAGCACTTGAAGTGTATATCTCCGTCTCAAGACCTTGTTAGTTTTAGTTTATTAACCATGCCCTGAAGGCTCTTTTTTTTTTACGAAGAAATAATTCTTATTACACTTGTTAA